TGTTCTAGATGGACTTGTAAAGTTTGAAACAATTTTGATGGCGCACGTGGAGATAGATTGAAATACCGCGGACCGAAGTCGTTATACCGAGAATCGTTCCGCTGTTAGAACAGCAGTTGCGGACAGTTGTTGCAACGCACGTTTCTTGCAGGTATTCCTGATATTGAACGCAATGAATTCACGGAAAGGGCCGCGAGCAGGCTGAGGCAGAGAGCAGACTGGACTGGAAATTGCATGGGCAGAATAATGAAATAAAAATAATTAAAGATGAGCACTTCAGAAACTCCTTCTTTATTCCCCTTAATTATTTATTTCACGTACAATTTAAAAATTTAAAAATATATTATGCGGTAAAATTAATATAAATGCGGTGAAAGGTTTGTACGAGATGGCAGGAATAATAATAGAATATGCAATACAAATATTGGAACTTTATGTATCTAGCCTTTTCATTAACTAATTGTGAAAATATGGTCAATTATTGTTAAATACGAACTCTTTTGGTATATGAGAGATTGAACTGTTTTATCCTCATAATGACTATATTATTCTGCATTTTCTTCAGACATATTCTCCAGTTTATATATTTATCGTTTCGGTATGAATATTAGCGCTCGTATTTTCAAAACAACGAAATTCGGGGTATTTATTTAATTATTTTTGGTGTTATTGAGCTCAAGATTATTGGGTAAGTGATGTTGGTTTATATATAGTAAGGAAAGAGTGAAGGCTTTGTACAAATCAGACGAAATATTATTCATAAAGTGAATCATCTTTAACAAGAAATATCTCAGAGCTTTACTAAAATCGTTATCTGGAAATGGTGTTTCCAAAAATGATGATACTTGAATGAAACTAGAGAATGTTTGCAAATTGCTTCCATCCGTTTTAGATTGATATATCATCGTTAATTTCTCAATAACAAACACTTTGTCTAAAAATTGATTAGGAAACTTTTCTCTTGAATCGTAATACAATCATTTAAATGATATAATATAAGTCACCTTGTGCCCAGTTTATATATGTAAATTTAAAACACCCAAACATTTTGGAGAAATAATTTCCTGGCTTAATGCAAACAGTATTGTTCCTACAAATATACGCAATCGCGTACTGAAAGTGGACCAGGGCATCAACTGATGTCACTGAAGTGCCTCTGCCCGGGAGGTTCTAGAATTCTAGTTCTAACGGTGCGGTGGTAGGATTTTCGTCACTAGCAAGATAGCTAGGTGAAATTCAGCTGCTTCATGGAGGAGGAATACTAGCTGCCGGCTGCTCTTGATCGGTAGTTCCCGTGGTTTTTCCCATCAACACAAGGCGAATGCAGGAGCAGTACCTAACAACCGATCACGGACCGCGCGCGATCTTTCCTTCCTCGTTTTTTTATCAGCACCTCTTTCTTACATACGCTCACGCACTTACATGAATCACACTACCACATACGTCCAGAAACCAGTCGCGAGCTTAGAATTTGTCTTGGCTGGGGCAGCGCCCCATTGGTGGGAGATACCTGGTTGGGGATAACGCGCCACGCCGACGTGTATGTCGGCGCCGTATCTCACCATTTAGAGAGGAAAGGTAACCGCCTCCTCCCGTGATAAAAAGGCACTACACTTACGTGACTAACGACCCTACCAGTTGACGCGCCCGGAAACACGAATTAAACAATCAATTCGTCCATTTATTATTATTATTATTATTATTATTATACGTCATTAACTCGTGTCCAATTAAACTAATAATTAGGCTCGCAGACCCATTGTGCGATTGCATTTGTCTCGAGATGTTCACGAAAGAACCCGACGAATGGATTAGTTGAGGTGGTCCTATCAAATGGCAAGACTTCTTATTTTATTCGTCTCAATTTAACCTTGTGTATGAACTTAAAAACTAGGTACAATAAGACACACCTAAATGTGGCGGTTCCTCAATGTGTTCTTGGTACCTGCTGTGCTGTTCAAAATACAACCTATGAGGTTGTTGAAGGCATGTCAGATGATGCAATGCCTTTTTAGTAGTCAGCTTTGGAATTCACGAGCAATATATTTCTTTCCAAAATATTTCAAACTCCCCTACTCTAAAAGTATTCGAAAGTTTCCTTGTCGTGAGTTAACCGTGCATTATTTCTCGACTAACGCATATTGCACAGATTAAGTTCTTCGGTTTCTTTTAGGTACAATCGCACATCATACTCTGTGAAAACTGACGCGGCCAGGCAAGCAATTGTATTATTCTAGTCCGCTCTGTTTTTATAACGTAGTGCCTCAGTGTTTTTTCATAGTAATATTTCCCAGAATTTCTAAAATACATACTTTGACTCTCTATATTCTATGTACTTCTAGTTTGAGATATGTAACGATTTTACTCCGAAATGTGTACGTAACTGGTCTGGTAAAACACAATGTTTTAATTACTTTTTTATATATTTAATTTCGTTGTAATGTTCCTCACACTTCTATCTTTACATCGTTCCAGCCATTATTTTTGTAAATGAGTTCCAACACATCCTAGGGATACCAGCTACTGTATTATTCGGAGAGAGTTTGCGAGAGAAATATTTGTCATGGGTCTGTTTACAAGATGATGAGCTGTTAACTGAGCATAACGTGAATTCGAGGGAAAGGAAACTCGTAGACGGGGCGGGAGTTTATAGGTGTTCAACACAATATTTTACCTTTAATCTGCTAAATTTGTCACTAGAGTGAAGAGATTTATCACCTTCTAAACTGACTAAGCATCGCTTTAGAAACCTTGCCCCTCACGGCTGACTTGGGTTGTGATCAGCCTCGAATATCTCGCGCAGCGGGGCACATTAGTTGGCACCGCCATGGCGGGCGCGGCGCGGCGTGGCGTGGCGGCGGCGGCGGCGGTCGCGTGGGGGCGGCGGGCAGAGTGCAGCTGGAGGGCAAACCCTGGGGCCCCGCCCGCCGCGATCCTACCTCAAATCGCCGCGGCCGCGCACGTCTGCAAGCGGCACCCCGCTGCCGTTGCCTCCGCCGCCGCCGCGCCGGCCACAGCCTCTGCTGGGAGCGCGCTCGCGGCCGGATCTGGCAGCTGCCACGGCGGCGGCGTGCGGCTCGGGGCTAGTTTGGTCCCGGCTCTCGCGGACCGGCACGCCTCGAAAGGACGCAGCTGTGGCCGCCGCACCTCGTCTGCCGTCGCCGCGCCCGCGCCCGCGCCACGCCTCCGCGCCGCCGGCTCGCCCTGCGCCCTCGCTGCAGGATGCGCGCGCCAGCCTCTCCTGTTCGCGCCCTCCGCACCACCAACTGTCGCCCTCACGAAGTGTTTGTGTGTTTGAGCGTGCGGTGATGGGACCATCTCTTTCGTATTCGAAACACGTGCCCAGCTCGTTCACCTCGGGGGGACTGTACCCTGGATGTAACCTATACGTGTATCTCGAGTAACGTGCATTTGGAGAAAAATAAAAGCAATTTCAACAATACTGTGTTCATAATTAAAAAAACGTTCTCATAGACGTGCATAGTACTGTGATGCGGAGACATTTGTGTTGCGGAGAAAAGCATACAAAACTTTTTCTGACAACCACCCAGTTCCTGAATGTACACCGACAAACTACGTAATTTATTGGATATGTTTAGGCTTAACTGAATTATTACACCTTCTGGAAAGTGGCAAGGCTTTTGACAACGAGCTGAAACTTACCTCGAAGTGTTGTTTGCAAATTAGAAGACCTGTGTACGTTGAGAACGTACCGTTCCACGCAACCGTGCTCAGAAAAGTGAAATTCCACATCGGAGGTTCTGTTTGTTTTCGCTGTCACAGAAAGCTGAGTGAAACACGCGCGCCGGAAACACCGGCAGCGAAAATTTAATTTATTTCACGCAGAACAGAAACGGCGACGCCCTAATAACATCAAGCGCCTAGGCCGTAATAAGGATTTCGTGTACTCTAGCGTGTTCGAATGCACATCAACGAATTGTTTACAATATTTTGTTACAGCGCCTCGCCTGAGTTCGCGTGCACGGGTGCGTGTGTGCTTGTCGCCGAGTCTTTCCGTCTCTGTCCCTCGCATCGAGAACGCTGTTTGGTTTTCCGAGGGCCCCGCCTCGCCCGCCGCCAACGGAAGAACCCGTATCCTACATGCTGGCAACAACGACACGACAGGGGGTGTGTGAGGCGTACAAGTGTCGCTAATTAGTGGGAGTGTCGAACATCCCGCAGCGGAGACGTCATGAGGATTTGCTTCGCTTGTTCCGGTTAATTGAATCACGAGCGCAAAGATTACAGAGGAGCCGGATCCCACCACCGCTGCCATTACTCGATAATCGCGCTGCCGTTGTTGCTGCAGCCAGCACTGGGGCGAAAGGCAACGCCGCACACGTCACTTAGTAACCGTATCACCGCCACAAAAAATTCAGAAAAAATTAATCATACCTCCCCTGGTGCGTGACAGGAGGAGCCCCCTCCCCCCCCTCCTAAGAACGCGTACGCCACCAATTTGTGGACGGCGCGTTTCAAAACAGAGTGCGGTATTCAATTGTTTCCCAGAAGCCCGGGGCAATTGCTCTTAAGCGTCGCGCGCAATGATTCATGGGCCGCGTTGACGCAGCACTAACGCCCGTTCGCGCCGACGCCGGGGCATCGGAGAACGGCTCCGCGCTCGCGTTTGTTTATTGTTTTAAAGCGTAACTTCATAACTGTCGTTGCGTCACTTTGCGCGGTGCGCGGCAGAGTAAAATTACAAGGAAAGAAGTCTTGTTTCGTGTAGTTCTTCGTGTTATTCATCAAAGGGATGATGGAGAGGAAGTGAAAGAAGCCAAGAGCTTTTTGTTTTGGTAGAGGAAGAGGAGGACGTGGATAAATTGTCTATTCAACAGCTTTTCATTGGAAGAAAATAGCCTGAAGACGTCAGTTGTGTTTTGTTACTGTTCATTCATATTCGTAGTTTACTTTTGAGACGAATATAGAGCAGAACAGTTGGAAGTGTTATTTTTAATTATGCAATACCTCGGTTCTGATTCGTTGAATCGCAGATGAGAAATGGATTCTGAGACACATCTTTTCTCTTCAGTATTTTCGAACCAATCCATACGTTCCTCTGATTTTTAGTTTTCTCGTGAGTACCAGCGGTTATCAGTGAACTTAAAAAAAATTAAAAAAGCGGCGGTTTTCTCATCTGAAAATGGCCTCTTTCACGTCGCGCACAGCCAACTAGAGGGTTTTCAGGGCAACGAACGAAGTACTATGCGATTTGTGAGCGTGCGGACTCTCCGCTGAGCGAAACGAACTCCCGAAAGTGCGTCGAGTGCCATGCGCGATGGAGTCGCTGCAGCCGGCGAAGGCGACGCTGTGCTGGGCGGTGCTGCTGCTGCTGCAGCTGCTGCTCGCCACGACGTCCGCGGAGGCAGGTGAGTGCGTCCCAAATTCTGGTTCGCATCCCTCATCCAGGAGGCTTCAGTTGCAATCAGAGTTTGAAATGAAGGTTTCTTCTAAAATTGATTGATAGTGATTCCGATCGCGTCAACAGCTAAGGTCATTCGTCCTGTAAACGTAGTGCATGATTTATCACGGGAGGTGGCTGTGATCTTTCCCGTTGGCTGGCGAGATCACACCTACAGTTAGGTTTATGGTGATTTTCCCCAACCAGGTTCTCTCTCACCAGCGTTGCACCGCCCCATCCGGGACGAGCTGTAAGCTCACGAACGGTCTCCCGTCATGTGTCGTAGATAGTGCGTATGAGTGTAAGGGTATGTAAGTAAAGGGAAGGAAAGGTCATGGAATTGGAAGCAAAGATCGCACGCGGCCCTTTTGTTTGAGAACTGCTCTGGCATTCGCCTGGTATTGATCGGTGAAAACACAGAAAACTACCGCTCAGAGCTAGAATTCGTCCAGACAGCGACTGAATTGGACATAGCTAGTAAGCTAGTGTCGAAAATCTTGCCACCGGGACTCGAAATCTTGAACCCCACGGTCAGAGGCACTGCAGTGGCATCATTTGACGATCTGAGCCTCCATTGACGGTCTATTCTAAAATTTTATCATTTTCTTTTCTGTTGTCATTTTAAAACTAATTTGAAGTATAATCAGCTATGTTTTCTTTTAGGTATCTGTGTTACGGTACAATCAGTTTCAAAAGTATGTCTCCGATATTAGTTTTGAAGGGAGAATAAAATTTTCCCGTTTGACGGGAAACGTTTGACGAAGAGGAAGTTAACCATCTACACTAGTGAAGTGGGAGATATTTTATGCATATTTAAAATGTCTATCGTATTTCAAAGAACTCAATCCACATTATAAAAACCTGTTATTTTTTCTTGCAAACTCTCGGGCTCTTAGATCTGCATCACTAGACGGCCTCTGGAACAACCATTACCTTGTTGATAACGTACTATCTTGAATTCCTGTTGCGCGACTATGGTGTATGACAATGGTCATTCTTCTCTAATAAAAAACGTGTTTTTCTCTTCTCTCACTTTATGTTCTCAAGATTAGTCGACATTGGCGCGACACCATAGTTTTTTTAAAATGTTTATTATACGGAAGCAAATATTTTCATACCAATTTGTGACAAAAGCGCTCGTTCATACATGTATTCATAATTCAAATTCATACGTGTTCTATTTAATGTTATGTCAGAGATTCCAGAAATCATGCACAGATTGCACCTCTTCCTCAGAACGTCACAGTTTTTTAATAAATAAAAATAAACAATTTTTATTCCATTTTTCTAATACATTCACAATCACATTCTTCACTATATATAATTATTATTTACATGGTGACCTTTATTAATTTTAACCGACGTTTGCGATTTATCTGATTTTATATGCGAGATTACTGCAGTGTATCGCGCGATTGAGTGAACGCTCATAGAAACGAACTGAAGCGGTCTGATAAGGTGTGTTACTCCACAATCTTCCTAGAATCACGAGCCGATACCCACCTCTTTCGCATCTTTCACAAAAAAGTTCTTATATATGAATAACCATACGAAAAAACTGGGTGTAGGAGAGAAAAGAAATGTTAGTTGTACGGATTCAGATGATAAGGAGATGAGAATATCACCTCACCTTATTACCCCCCCCTTGTTTGCTTAAATGATTGTTGCAAGGTCCAATAGAATAGTTTACAAAAAGAAATGATATTGTTGAAATTGTTATGAATACTATTTTTTTTTAGATTGGTTATTCTTCTTGGGAGACTTGTTAAAATATGGGTAATATATAAAAGCACATTTGTAGAGCGTATTGAGAATACGTTTCGCATTTTTCTTTCAGAAGAGCTTGTTGGTAAACTAACTGGAAGAAAATAAATAGAATTCTGTTGCCTGAAGCGGTAGTTACGTGGATAGTGGTTACAACACCAGTAAAGTTGTTAACCTAACGCAATTAATTTGATTATAGTTTTACCGTGCTGTTGCGTAATGAAAGAGCTTGCTTATGTTCTTTCCGTTTATTTTTCCTTGTCAAGCGCTCTTGTATACGCCTATAAAATCCACGTTACGATCAGAGGGGTATTTTGTACATCCCTACTCACGCACACAATGTGCACGGAGCCACGCCTCGGCGCCGGCATAGCATGGCGTCAGCCTTTTGTCTCCCGCCTCGAGATTCCAGCGAGGATGGCGCTTCGTAGCACCCACTCAACGGAACGGCGTTTGGCACAGGGCTGCAGCTCTGCTTTCAGAACGCCGCGAGTTCTTCGAAACTCCATTGAATCGTGGCAGTTTTCTTTTGATTTGTCTGTACTGGAGTTCGTTAGTCACTACTTGATTCAATTAATTAAAAGTTATGAGAAAATATTAGGAAAAATACTTAGGGTTCCTTGTTGCAAAACGTGTCATATTCGTTTTATATGAACCTTTAATATTTAGGGCAATTTACTTCAACGTAATTATACAACAGTATCTTGAAACGTTTTTTGCTAACATCATAGCACGACAGAATGAGAACGGACCTCTTATTTTTTTATAGGTCATGTGATGTTTTAAAATTGAGCAAAATACAGAATGCAATATTTTCCAGAAATTTTGAATGTGACAACATGAATTAATACTTGTACTTGTTAATAATATTATTGTTTGGATTGTATTAAATAATTGTGCTGCAGTTGGTCATTTGTATTTTTAAAAAAATCAGCGTAGGTTTTAATACATTGTGAATTCCACGTTTCGGGCCCCCTTCACCCAAAATTTCCTTGCCCGCACCAACCTACCCGAAAACGCTTCTCGGGGCTAATTCGCCGGCCCGATATTAATGTCCTTCGCCTCCAACGAATAAATATTTTACTTTCATCCGAATCCAATCTCATTTTGTAGCCAAACACGCAGCATTTATCAACAAACACTTGCGGAGCGAGAGCGCAGAATACGTTGCGAAGTCGCCATGCTGCGTCGCGCTCGCTCTGTTTATTTCGTAAACACCATCCCAGTGCACAGCGAAATCCACGCTCAAAATGTGTAAATACTTTATATTAAAAATAATTCCGGGAAGGGCGAGTGTTTTGTTATAATTCGCATATTGGCACAGTGTAATGAACGTTTCTGATGTGTTCTAGTTTGCATGCCCTGTAGTTTTCTCTGTCCTCTGACCTCTCCACTCAGTTTTGTTACGTTCGTCGGCGTTTTATCTGTGGTTAATGAGATTATCGTTTCAATATATGTGATGTTATTAATGGAGTATAATTATAAGGAATTCCATTCCTTCCAGACCTTATAGAGAAGGTAACTAGAAATAAATAATTTTTACATAATATTCAATTTTTAACCTTCGGTAGGGCGCAACTGATCTAGTAGGCACAGGGGAAATTTCCTTTCTAGATGTCTTCTTCAGTAGCTTCGTTGAGTTCAATAGCTGTCTCTTTTATAATGACGTTTAATAGAATTTAAAATGTCGAATACTTATCGGTAATTTTTTTTTACCTGTCTGAAAATATTCAGTAATAAATGTGACTTGCCCATAGTAATAATGCCCCCCATTATAAAACGTTTTGAAGAATACGTATTTTTAAAACTTCTGAAGTTAAATAAGTAATATTAGAAGTTTCGAAGTGAATAATTTCCGAGTGTATTCAGAAACGTAAATTTCTGAATGAACTGTCCAACGTGCTGGTGACATAGGGAATAAAGGAAAATTTTGCTGAACAAAATCACACAAAATGTTTGTCCCAAATGTAGCACCCTCACTGCTCAAGAACAAACAAAACACTCTAGTATAACATTAAAATTAAAAATATTTTTAACCAAATCAGTATTGATACTGTAATACTCTTACAGAATTCTGTAGTCTGCGTCTGTGCGTTCGTCCCTCGCGGTTAGACTTCTTCCCTTACACCAATCGAGACAAATGAAGGGTCATTCGACGCCTGGTTTCCCGGTGGGGAACTGATTTGTTTTCGTGCCAATCCAAAAGATTCTTACAAATTTCTAAAAGCGTGTGTTTTTGAGTTTTTTAGCGCTGTGATTTAACGGTGGCCGTGCGAACCCGAACTTCACGGCACCCAAGCAATGAATAACACAGGTTGCTAGATATTGTTTAGTCTCGATGCCGCTGTTTACACTTGCGGTGCAGGGCTTGAACATTTTCCTTGAGAGTGTTTCATCATCAGAGTTGCATGATAATTATCGTTTCATAGGATAATGTTATGTAAAGCGTATGCGATGGAATTAATGAGTGAATTCCATTTCTTGGATAATTTCTACAAAATTGTTTCCTCTTCTATATTATTTCATTATTATAGTTGAGTTTTGCGACTCTCACACTCGCAACCAAACTTTATAAATGAGGTCTCTAAAGAAAGAATTTCACGGACACTTGGCGAATTGCACTTTAACTCTAAAAATATGAATGATTTGTTGAGAAAACGCATCAAAATATTCATGTAGAATGCTACCGGTAAAACTTGGACTAAATTGTTGAAATGTATATACTTAGATAACTCCAAAAGGAAACTTTCTAGGGCCTCAAAACCTTGAACTTGAAGCCAACGACCTCAAAGAAACGTTTATCACATCGTAATCTACAGAATGAGACCTTCGTGGATATTCTATTATATTTGCTGGTTCACTGCTTCTAGATACTGCAATGCAATTGAAATTTGTAATTTGAAACATTGCAGAGTGTAGGGTTGTACTTGTCAGATCCTGTATTTTCGCATGGACAACTTTACGTATAGTTTACGTTTCACAAGAGTAAAATGTATTTCTAATTTTTTTTTTCGTATGAGGGAAAGCGAAAAACAAACTGCTAAGGAAGATTGTAAAATTAGGATTCTAAATGTTTTTAAGGAAGTGTTTTGAATTGTTCCAAGAACATATATCCGAATAATCCGTTATTGAAAATTTGTTTTAATATATAAATTGCATTGTTTTTATTTTTGATATTCTGTGAGTACCATTACTGTATTGGAA